ATGAGGAGCTGTTCGATCTGATAGTGGAGGTCTCTGTCCTTGGCCGAGATGCTCATGGCAACAGATGCGTGTCCCGACTTGATCGACATGGTGTCTGCGTGAGAAGCACGAGAGAGGTCCGTCATGGCAGTACTTTGGGTCGCCGCTGAGGTGTCGGATTCGGCAGTAGAGTTCAGTGTAGAAGCGAGGCTCTGCTTCGATGGTGTCCTCCTCAAGAAGCTGACGGGACGTGAAGGCGCAGATAGGCCCGGGCTGAGAGACACGGACTTCGTGGACGAATTAGAAGGGCCCCACAGGCGGCCTAAAAACGACGTAGCGGATTTGTTAACTTGTTGCTTAGCGGATTCTTTCTCCTGGGCTTCCTTGTACTGCTGCTCTAATCCTTGCAGCTGCTCTCGTGTGACATCGTTAGTGAATGAAACGAAGTCCTGGACCAAATCATCTGCGGAATGAGCGTTTCGGCCGTAAGGATCCCACAACTGGCGACCAAGCAGCAGCTGCATCACGTCTTCCATCTCAGTCAGTGACAGCAGCTTGGCTTCGTTCCTTTTCATGAGCGCAAGAGCGACGCGCATGATGGTTTCGGAGGCACCTTCAGCGAAGAGTACGTCGTAGATGCGGAAAAGCATAGGTAGAGGACATGTAACTGCGAAGAACGACAAGAACCACTGCGAGAGGTAAGCAGACTCGATCTGCATCTCCTCGAGGTGCAGCGCAAGGTCAGGCATATGCTGGCTCAGCAGCTTCTGAAATTGGAAGATGCGGAGGTGCAAGCCTGAGAGGTCAGGAAGGAAGCAGGAACGAAGGTCATAGTCTTCCATGAGCCTGTCTGTATCAGCAGCCGCCACATCAATGATAACGAAAGACATACCTGACAAGCACGCAGAATGCCTCCTTGTCGCCCATTTGCATCAAAAGCGGACCAACAAGGAAGCCCAGACCCTGACAGTACCCTATCTTGTTGTCATACAAGCTGAAGCACTTCAGCACGCGGCCAAGCATCTTTTGACCCTCGCCTTCAGGATCTTTGAACATCTCAACTCCAGGAAAGCTTCGACCGAGGTCCTTGTTGATGATGTTCTCGTACGGACTTGATTCTCCACAGAGCGCTTCATATTGGTCCTCGATCAGCTTGTCTCTAGAACCAGATGCACTCTGCCAGACGACACCTCGCAGCGGTGCAGGAATACCACCACGAATCTTGTTCAGACACAACGTTGGCAACCGGTGCACCACTTGTGGATAATCGCGGACGAGAGCTGCCCAGAATTCGAGCTCGGTCATTGGCGGAGGAGACGGCAGCTGGGAGAAGCGAACTTCCGCAGGGTCGTTCTGCACAAGGCGCTTGAGCTGCTGGAAAGACGGTGGACGAGATTGGCTACGATCACGGGCATTCTTCAAGGCTGGCTTCATACCGGCCTTGGAGTCCGACATCAAGGCGTTGTTCTCCTGTTCAAGGCGTGCAAGGAGCAATGCCATGGACTGCACGTGTTAGCGTGGTCAGCGCGGTGGTAGAACGTGGCACCCACATCATCCTGACCCTCGTGGCTCTGTTGTGTCTCCTTCTTCTCCAACTCTGCCCAGTCAACCTTGGCCTCTGCTGAGCTTTCGCTGCCGCTTCTTGACCGTGTCGACTTGGGCCTCGCTGGTGCATCGACATCGCTGATCGATACAGTAGGGCTACTCGAGGCCGGTGCAGCGACGCTGGCCTGACTTGCACGACGGCCGAATGCCTTATGGATCTCGTCTGAACCAGGTCTTGATGATAGTCTTCGCTCCTCCACTATGATGTCTGGCCGTATTACCGACTCTCGAACATCGTCGTCATTTGTGCCGGCCTCAGACAGCGGTACAGTCACCATCGAGTCGGTCGGCAGCGGCTTCGAGTTGACATGGGTTCTCGGCGGTCGTGACTCCTCGACGGTGGGAGTTGTGACACTGTGCTCGACGTCCATAGTGGTCGCTATGGCCTCCGTCATTGCGTGGGCGTTACGGGGCAAGCATCCAGCCTCAAATTGGTCAATATGAAGGCACACGCTGGTATCGAGCGTGTTTCGAATCGGTGGTTGTGAGCGGGGACCGGGGTCTGTGAGGGCAATGCGCGGTGAAACGCGCTACGAAAAGCTCTTTGCGCTGCCAGCTGGAGGAGAAATGAACGACTACGCACACGATGTAGAGACAGGAGAGACGCTGAGCGGCCCACGGCCTCGACACTCAGAAAGGTGCATCAGGAGGTCGCCATTAGCTTAGCCTAGCTTGTCGCCCATTCGCGAATTGAAGGGTCCACTCATAGGCCTTGGCTGCATCAACAGGGGGCCCATCCCATTAATTGCTGCTCCGCACACCGACATCATCTAGACCAGAGCAGCGTCATAGGCTGACCGCCTCGTGCGATGTGCAGTACTCGTGGTGAGCACGTTATCTTCGCAGTCTTATATCTACTTGCTTGCTAGTCACCATGTGGTAAGTATGCAAGTGCACGAGGGAGACGCGAGAGTCCACGCGAGCTGCGGCAAGTGCGCCAATGGGAGGAGGTGTGACCGAACGTTGGCTGCAGCCCGCTAGCGCACCTTCCAGCCGCAAGGCCACCCCACTGGCCCAGTCGCACCAACGTCGCTCACAGCCATCGCGGTCGATCAACGAAAAGGACTGTCTAGATGCAGCCCTGTTGGTACCGAGTAGGACTCTGTTCACGATTGCCTTGCCCAGCACTTTGCATTGACACGGCCCAAATGCGAGTCTCAGTGACTTCGCACGACCTTGGAGTTCTTCACGTAGCCTGTGTTGCTCAGGCAGAGGGTCTTGTTCCTGAACCATTATTACATTAACATCGCACATCTGACCCATAGTAAGACGCTAAACATAATGCGCACAGCCGCGCAGAAAAGGACATGCCTTTGAAATCGACGTCAGCAACCAACACCATCTTCATCCCCACCAAATTATCAATGACAAAGTGCAGCTGCCGCTTCCATGCGCCAAGACGGTTTTCACTTCCATCGTGTCTACGATCACAGCGGCTCTGATCTTCATGAAAGCTGTGGTCTTCGTGGGAGCAATTGGCGTGCTAGTTCATTGCATCAACGTTAGAGAATTGCACCTACTTTCGCCTTCAAAGACAGGGCCTAAACACTGGTTGAAGATCTCTAGGCTGACTATGAGACTTGACCCCGAAGAATTAGGCGATTAATGCCACTACCGCATGCAAGGAACCATCCTTCAGTGGATGCCCAACCTTCAAGCCCATAACCATGTGCCCAGAGCTCGCTAGATCCATAAAAGCCTTGCTGATGACATTTTCCTCCCACCAAGCACGCTCACCTTCTTCTTAGCAAAAGTCATAACCATCGTTCTATATGTCTCTGACTTCCACAAATCCCGTGATTCATCTTCCATATTTGCGAGCGCCTGCCAAACCCCTCATTGCACCTAATGAGAACTTCATCGGATCTTTGATCTCTCTGATTTGCTCTTCCGAAACCTGCATGACTTCGCGAATCTGGGTCCCTCTAGCTTTGCTCGAGTTAGGCTTTCTAAAGATAGAAGACCTCATTAACGACGCTGCGTTGAAATGAATTATCAGATCATATCAGCAGACGCTCTGGATACCCAGACTACGTGTTTTCTCTCTGTTCGAAAATAGCTTTGCCGACAACTAATGTCTGCCCCAAAGACAACGAATTTGAGAACTATGACTCTTCGTCGTCGAATGTACTCCAATCGGCTCCTATCTGGGACAAGCGTATATTCTCTGGTTGCTGTAGCTTTGCCGCTCTCACACCACATGGTCTCTAAGGAACTTTCAAAGAGCCCTCATGCTAATAGCATGTCTCTGTCCCGGTTGTGCAACTTGAAAACTGGCACCGGAGTGCTTTTCCCTCGGATTTTCTCTTTGAAGAACATTCGTTATATGCACAGCGTTATATCACAAGCTTACCAAGCCTGGCTCGGAACATATGTTTGTGAAATTGTGTAGGAGCTTAGCAATTTGACGGCGCATGGTACTAGTGTGTCAAATGCGATGCTAACCGGCTTTATTACGATCGTCCTTGCTTACATACTGATAGAGGATAGAAGAGGAGATCTGAGTACTACAGATTCGAACTCAGCGATATGACTATCGCGCCGCTTTGGCACACTATGATGGCTACATCGACGCCTCCTCTAGGTTTGCTACTACTAAACATTACAATCCACCACTCGAGAAAGCACCCGCGCTGAATCATAGATTCGGACACTATTGGGTAATGCCGCATTAATCATTGGTCTTCTGCCTCACGTACACATTCCTCCACTGTGTAGTTCCAATACCGTAGTTATCGCGTCTGAAGCATCCCTGGGTCATGCGTGGATACACGACTGACTACCTTGCCAGTCTGCCAGCCACCACTTGCAGGAGCCGTTTTCGGCTCGGCCTGTCCAGCATGTCATCGCTTGCCGCGAGGTTTGTGTCCATCCGAGTGCAATGCCATACAATGGACTAATTTGCACAGGGGAACCGATCGGGCTCTGGAACCAAACGATCGTAGTGAGATAGCCACAGCTGTCGCCGACTTCACTTCAAAGAATCAAGACTGGCTCTGTGTAACTTCTTGGTAAAATTCGAGAGAGATTTCGCAAATTGTGTAAAGAACATCTATCTGGCCTTGACAACGTTTTCGGCGACGCGTGTTGTGAAGGGGTATTCTCATTCTATACGCAAAAGTTTATCTTGCCGCCTACAGATACGCAAAGAAAGCGAAAGGAGGACCGTATACACTCTGAATTCCTCTGCTCGAAAATCTCATAGCATAAAGCTTGGTGCCAAAATCTAGCATACAGAGACGTGATAGCTCTCCGTACGCTCAGGCCAAGCTAAAATAGTTGGAAGGAGATGGACCATTCATACGCTGCCGCAGCTTATGTCCTCAAGACTCTTGTAAGGCCAGATCCACGGACGACCGCCATGGACGGAAGCTACGAAACATGCGCAAGACGCCATAGATGGCAAAAACAAAAGATGCATCGGCCGGGAATCGAACCCGGGGCTAGCCGAAACTGTGTAACCTGGGAAGGTTGCTTGGCAACGGCTAATTTTACCACTAAACCACCGATGCGGATAGTTGTTATTGATGAAAGAGTAAGTGTTGATGAACAATATATTCATGATCCAAATTGCTGTCCATGCATGTGTCGTTGCCCGCCAAATCATGGCTCTGATGTTGTCCCACGGAGGTGGGTTGCAAGAAATTGCCCACACTCGAACTTCAATTTCCACAGCGACTCAGCGCGCCCTGCAATATCCCGCTGCACCCTTCCCCTGCCTTCTCACATTGGGAACCACACTCATAGTGCTCTGTTCAAACCACAAAGCATTGAGTGCAGACGTATATGTCCGAATGACCATGTCCAAAACATCACGTTGTTTTGTGTCCCTCCTCTTCGCTAGACCTTGCTCAAAAGACACGATCAACGACGAATGTAGGTCTGATATGGCCCCTCTATTGCTCAACATTCACATGTCTATTTGTCGAGTCAAAGAGGGGGTTTACATATTCTCCTCCCGCTCTTCCTGTGCATTACTGACATCGCCGATGTGGGCACAACGATCTAGCAGTGTTTCCGTGGCCGATTTACGACCTCTGTCGTATCCATACATAAGCGGTGTCCAACCAGTCCGTAAGGGAGCGTTCACATCAGCGCCGTGATTGAATAGCACTTGGATCGCTCGAGCATGCCCATTGGCGGACGTGAAATGCAATGATGAACGCCCGTCTTCACTGGCGCTCAACACGTTCGCCTCTTCTCTGAGTAAGAACTCCACTATCACATCGTTTGCAGCAGATGTGAGCGCGCTACCATACAGCCCTCCAAGCTGGTTAACGTTGGTACCTTGCTCTGGGAGTAGCTCCATAACTCCATGGTGACCGCCAGCAGCTGCGGCGGCAAGCGCATTTGGGAAGAATTTGCCTGTTGTGTAGATATTGACTCTCAGGCCCAGGACTCGGCTGATCATTGGTTGGTTGCCTCGTAAGCAGCGACGCCGAGGGCGTTGTTGAAATGTCTGCCTTCCTTGTTGACGTCCACCCCTCGGCTGAGAAGTGCTTCAATGATAGCTGGCGCCTTCTCAAGAATGGCGGCACCGGGTGCAGTTCCACACGTTTCTATTGATTGATCAACATTGGCTTCATTGGTGATCACTAGTTCAACAATCGTCAAGTTGCCTCCATATGCAGCAGCTCCGAGTGTAGTACCAAAATCAGCACAGCTGCCGTGAACATCAGCACCGCGATTGAGTAAAAGGTCGGCAACTTCTGTATATCCTTGTGATTGCTTTGCCTAATCGCTCGATAAGGGATGTTCCTGCAGGATCGGAGGTCAATTGATTGGCAATACCAGATGGCTGCTGAAGTTGCGTGACCAGCCTCAAAAACTCACAGACGTGCCGTCGGTCGTATTCTGCGTAACTCAAAAACAGATCCCCTCAAACACTTCGTCCATATGCTTGAACGACAGAGCTTTGGACAGAAATGACCGGTGACTTGCGCTCCTCATCTTGAATGCAAGTCGACTGAGGCCATCAAGAATATCTTGAACCTTCTTGTAGATCTTTTCCAGCTCGCTGAGACCTTCATCGCTCGTGTCGATCGTGTTACTCGTGTCGCTAGATCCGTCGTTACTACCTTCTTGTGACTCGTCGTCTCTACAGCCATCGGCATTGCTCTCATGTTCAGAAAGTAGAAGTATGATTGGCCGATTGTAACGCGTGGGCCGTGTCGTTTTCTGGGACGCCTAGAGCAATGGAGGTGTAGAGCTTGCATGCGCAGGCTTGGATGAGCTTTATCTGAGCAGATTTTAGTGCCGTTTCAACACTCGGGTGTCGTAGAAGTTCGGATAAGTGAGAAACCACTAGACAGGGGTTTAGGAGCTGCTAAATGGATATTGAACGATTAAAGTGGAACGCGTAAGCCTTTACACGTTAGCCCTCTGCTCTGTTGGGTACTAGTGGTTTCTTACTTATTCGAACTTCTACGGTAATGAAATGAGCTTTGTCGGCGGCCACCGACAGAGGGGATGGGATCATTGAAGCGTTCAAGTCAAGCGACGCTGGCGCAGCCTGTGTGACAGTAATGCGCATCGTCTCTGCACATGTTTGGGTTGATATGATTCTGGCCACGACGACGACCTTTTGTCTATGACAACAATGATTTTGCTAGTAAAGATGTTTGCCACCTTAGCATGACGCTGGTGAGGCGTCGTCGGCCGATATCTATCGCAAGGTGGACGTCGGCAAAACAAGAATCGCCTGACAAGCCTGAATAATGGTTGGTTGGTAGACATGTGGCAGGTGAGTGGAACTGATATGGTGTGAGCGGGATGTGGAACTCTGGAGACAAGCAACAATCAGAATTGTGCGCTAGGAATCCTAGGATGCAGACGCCCATGTAGGTACCGTAGAATTTCGTTCAACTGAGAGATAGCTAGTAGGGATCTGAGCGACGCTGAGTGGCTACATAACGATTAAAGCGGACCGTATTAACTGCCAAAGGTTAGCTGCTTGCCTATCCGGGTATTAGCTATCTCTCACTTGAGCAAAATTCTACGGTATTCCGCCGAGCTATTGATCTAACTGTCACTCTCGACGTAGGTGGTACATCCGCCACTTTGAACACAAACATTGATGGAATTGGTGGCGTTTGCCAAGCTTGAACGTTGCCGCACTCGCCTCAGCATATCGTATTCTTGAAAAGCGATATCCCCAAAGGATGAGCCTGGCACACTACTGTTATCTCTGTCTTCTCGCTCGTAGGGCCGAAATGATGAATAAGCTTATCGGATGGGTGTGAGATCGGTGCTTCGATATGATAAAGGCATAGCGAGACAAGAGTCCAGCTGATCTTGCCAAGATGCTTGCTTCTGCATCACTCCGCCGTCACTTGTAGCAATTCCTTGGCTCCTTCCTGTTTGATACAAATCCTTCGCTATTTGTCTTATGTAAAGCTTGGCCCGAGTCTTTGGTTGCTTGAACGAAGCTGTTTGACTCGTAAGGGCCCACAGGGCTGGCATCATGTATCCACATACTGTTCCGAAGACCGACAAGATCGTCTCAAAGCCGTGGTTTCACTGGCACACAGTTGTGCTCGGCCCATATGGCCCAAGTTTCAGGATTCGAGTGCAATCTGTAGAGCGGTTATCAACGCAGGGCAGTCAGTGATCAAATGAAGACACTCGGCATGTCTGTTGCCATTCACTGAGTCTGATAGGGAAATAAAGGATGTGCAGGATTCGCCCGTCTCTATAGTCGCGCAAGATAAAAGCCCATATGCCCCTCTGCTATGTCTCTGTGATCGATGTGTCCTTCCCTTCTTCCCCGAATTTGTTCATTGGGAGTATCTCACCATGGACGCCTACCCTCTTAACAACGTGAGCCATCCCACAGATGAGATGGAGATGGCCATAGACGCCCAGGCACGGAAGTCTTCGGTGGCCGGCCCCGACGACAAGCCTGTCATCCAGGAACGTGTCTGGGGTCACGCAGCACGTCTCGACCCGACCGTTACCTATGAGGAATACATCTATTGGGCCAAGATCGAGCGAGAGATCGAGGCAGAGGAAGAGAAAAAATTCAGAGCTGAGCACGGCAAATATCCTCTGCTGGATCTCGTCAAGGGAAAACTCTCCTCTGAGGGCAGAGCTCGTATGAAGAAAGAGAAGGCCGAGCGTGCTATGGCTCTGCAGTCGTCTATCGAATCTAACCCTGCACCTTTCACCAATGGAAAGAACGCCGCCGGCGAACTTACTGCTGCATCGTCCACTTCGGAAATTGTCGACCCTCTCAAGGCTACTGATGCTGAGTGGCGAGCTGCTGCCCGGGCCATGCGAACTGCCAGCTGGGGCCAGATGTTTTTCTTGATCACTACTGATATTCTTGGATGGTCCGGTGCCCCGTAAGTCACCCTGGGACGAACAGTAATCTCCAGTACAAGACTGACCTCGAACTAGATTCGTTTTTGCTGGTGTCGGCTACGGCGTTGGTATCGCCCTCTACCTTATCTTCGGTGCTTTCGCTACTTTCTCCGGATGGTGCATCTGGAAAGTCTACCTCGAACTCGACTCTTCTCGCTACCCTATGATGAGTTACGGCGATCCCTTTTTCCGTTTGTTCGGCAAGAGATCTCGTCACTTCATCAACGTCGCACAGTGTCTCCAGCAGTTCCTGACAGTCGCCGTTCTAATCTTGTCAAAGACAACGAACATCAGCCAGGTAAGAATTAGCTACTAGTACCTATTCAATCTCAATTGCTATCTCCTGCTAACTTTCTTCGTAGATCTCAAAGAATACTGTCTGTTTCTCTGGCATGATGGCTGTCGTGCTTGCGATCGGCATGATTTCTGGAATCATTCGCAGTCTGACAAAGATCGGATGGCTGTCTAACGCAGCCGTGTTCATGAATATTGCCAACTTCCTCATCATCATGATCGCAGCCGCTTCGTATGAGCCGCTCTACGAGGCTGTCACCAGGTCGACTCTGATTAAGACCATCGAGCCCATTGTTGTATTCGCCGGTCAACCACCGGATCGGTACCAACAGCAGGTACCCGGTTTTGCCTCGCAGTTCAACGCAGTCAACACCATGGTCTATGCTTACGCTGGTGCTCTGCTCTTCGTTGCTTTCCTTGCTGAGATGCGCCACCCCATGGATTTCTGGAAGGGATTGTTCTGCGCCCAGGCTTTCATCTGCACCGTCTACCTGCTGTTTGGTGTCTTCGTCTATTCGTACTGGGGACAGTACTCCGCCAACAATATCGTCAACGTCATTAGGCCGTACCCGCTACAGACGGCTGGTAACATCTTGACAATGCTAACAGGCTTCATTGCTGTTTGTAAGTGAAGACCAATGCGACTATCTTGTGGATTCCATCACTAATACTGTCTGCAGTTATGTACTTCAACATCGGTATGAAGACCATCTACCTTGAGGTCTTCCAGGCGATTTTCAACTTCCCTCCCATCTCCACCCGGTAAGCGAAGCATCAAGTGACTCTCAGAGCGACTACTAACTTGAGCGCAGAAAGGGCAAGATCGCATGGTACTGCCTTGGTCCCATTTACTGGA